GGGTGGAAGAGCCAGACTAGGAGGACACTGGGAAGAAGGAGTTGGGAGTCAGACACAGAGGAAGCAGGAGATAAACATGCCTTGCTGAGAAAAAGTACCGCCATGTGGCAGAGCATAGAGAAGAAATGTGGGCTAATTTAAAATGTAAGTGTTAGCTAGTAACAAGCCTGAGCTATTGGCTCAGCATTTATAATTGAGTCTCTGTGTTGGTTATTTGGGAGTGGCTCCCAGGACAGGAAAACTTTGCCTACCAATACAATACTGACTGGCCAGGCTTGGGCAAATGTCTCTGGAAGCAAATCGGCATTCAACTTTACCACAAGCAAAAGCTCTGACAAGGCTGGTGGATTGATGCTTAGGAGGAGACTTGATGACTCCATTTTTGATTATTTATTCACAATCTGCATTCATCTGCTCTTCTCTGAGAGGTGGGTGGTGGCAGTAGCTTGTCTGCATCTTCTGTGGTGTTGACCTCAGTACTAGGACAAGTGAGAGTGTGAATTGAGGCTAGGGAGTGGCCCAGGAGGGGTGCTGTGGTGAGACCAGAGTGCCCAGGCCTCAGAAGGTCAAGTTGTGGGTTGAAACTTGCTTCCTGGGTGACCTTGACTTGCATGTATTTCTGTGTCTCATCCCTTATCTCAGGAGCACAAGAAAGGTTCCCCTCCGAGAGCTGGAGGACTTGGGCCGTCCTCGGCCCAGCATTACATCTCCACACACAGTAACGTCTCTGGTAATTCCTTCTGCTCACAAGCTTTTGGAGAGGAGAAGGAAGCTGTCATGTCACTTGCAGAAAAGAGCCTGAATTTGTCAACCTGAAATACATCCCTTCCAGCTGCAGAACGAAGCACTGGTCGGTAGGAAGGCATAGACCCAGGGCTTCTGTGCTGTTACCAGGGTCAGCTATCCAAAGGTGTCCACGCCTGGTGACTTCCCAGGCTTGTCCTCTCTGTGTCTATGTCTCTATTGAGTTCAGTCTCTGGATCTGAAAAATCACATTTTTTCCTTCATCACACAGGGGAAAAAATGACCTACTTATCTGTATTCAAGGGGGTCATCCATATTTCATTCTTGCCCCTAATGATAGCTCCTTTACCATTCTCTTTCCGTCCCATTTCCCCGTGTCAGGCTTCACTGCTGCTGGAATCAGCCTGTAATTTCCATTCTGAGCCTCCTCCCCTTTGGGTGATTACCACTCTCCCCATGTAATTACCAGCCTCCCTAAATAGAATTTTAATGAGTGTAAGACATTTCATTGTGTGTCTGGGATTGTTGTATTTAATCATTTGCTATTTTTTGAGCCTCCAGTGGTTTCCAGGTTGTCACTAGGGGCTGATCACTTATCAATGACTCATTTTCTGTGGAAACTTATTTCATGTCTCTGATAACATCATGAGGAAACAATCTGGGATGCAGAAATGCTGCAACAAAGGTTGGGACCTGTCTTGGGCTCTTCAAAAGAGTGTGGACACTGCAGTCTTGTAGATGAATGTCAGGCCTGTTGGGAGTGCTGTACACATGCAGCTGTACTTGCAGAAAGATGAGCGTGCACACATTCAACACATTCAGAAATGCCTGTGCACACGGGTAGCATCTTCTGTGAGTCATTGCTAATATTGGGAAGATCTGGCCTTTGTAACTAGGGAAACAACCCTTTTTAAAATCTGCTACCCCAGATTGGCATCAGAGGAATTCAAGGAGGCTTGAGTGGCTGCCACTAACTGATGGCTTCTGACTGAGACACCAGACCAAACATAACCTTAGCTTCCCTCTGAAATCAGACCAAGCTGTGAGCTGAAGTCTTCCTCTTCCTTCCCTGAAGAGTGACCCCAGGCCACTCCTTTCCCCTTAGGCACAGCTCTGCAACTCTTTTCTGGCTTTCCTGGTCGTCAGACACCTCGCAGGGGGGCATGTTGGAAGTGAGAACCAACAGTTGAAGGTGTTGTATTTTTATACAAGTTTTCATGTGTGAAAATTAGTTCATATTCAGCAACGTACACACTGTACACAGCACAGATAGGCAGCTCGGTGGAGAATATTCCACAGAGCATCCTGGGTACCAACTCCCAGAGCAGCAAATCAAATAGAGGGCAGTGATTCAGAAGCCTTTCTTCTGCCCTCAATAGCGTAACTCTCTGCATACTGCTACAGAGAGGGAGGATCCTGATGCTTGTCTTCATGTTTTCATTATGATGTTCCAGAACAATGCAGCTTAGCATTCGGAGCTTGGGAGTTTCTATAAATCAACTCAGGGGTATGTATCATCTTGTTTTTTTTTTTTTTTTTTATTTCCTTGGCTCTAAAATGTGTGCTTAACATTCACACATTGTCCTGTAACATTTTCAATATATGTTATTATGCTATTTTTAAAAGTTAAGCTTTATTAGAACGCAGCCATGGCTCATCCCCTCCTCTTCTCCCGAGAATTGAGCTATTATTCTCATGCTTCTTAAGTTGAAATGGCCTAGTCAGTTGCTTCGAGGGGATTACTCAGAGTCCAAAGCCCATGTCCTCATCTGACCCTTCTGCTGCTTCATTGCCATCAGTCTTGGCTGGAGCTGCAGGAGCTACTAGAGGAACAGCAATGGTGGCAGCAGCCATAAGGGCAGCAGCCAAGAGTGCACGCGGGTCAGCCAAGAAGGCCTTGACCTTTTCAGCAAGTGGAAGTCTCCACAGACAAAAGCGGAGCCTGCTGGAGCCACCGATGATAGAGTGTGCCACAATCACTGGGTAAGCGATCTGCAGACAGACACTGACAGCATTCGGACTCCCTCCAGGAATCCAGAGTGCAGAGTTTTTGCTCTGTCACATCAAGCACTTCCAGGCTGTTTAACACCTGCTGGATGATCAGCCCAAAGGAGAGATGCTCAGAGTTTGCAACAGTGTGGTGGCTTCGCTGGCTTTCACTCATCTCTGTCTTCACAGCTCACAGCACTCAGAATTTCAGTGGTGCCCCTGGAGGTTTTAGGTGATGCCTAAAGGTCTGGAAGAAAGATGTCTTCTTCTACCCGAGACCACCACTCTGGGCTGGCACAGAGACCTCACACGGGGTGATGGCACCAGCATGGGCAGCTGTCTGCACTGCACTGTCCAATAGCATGTCCCTGATTTCAGTGAGGTCCTTATTGGTTAACACTAAGCCCATACCCCCCTAGCTATGAGGCCGCAGTTTCTGCAGAGCTGGGAAGTTTACATATGCCCCCGATAGCCTTGCACATCCTGGGCTTCCTCTTCATCAGTACCATAGCCCTTCCTCTCAGGGACATGCTGAACTGCTGACCTGCTTGGAGCCCACATTATCTCTTCCTCAATGAAGCATTTTGGATAATCATCTAAAAGTTCCTAAGGACGTAGGTGGATTTCCAAGTCACCCTGTTTTCCCGGGGCATCACGATGGTGTTAGGGCTTGAAGACGATGTCACCAGAATGAAGATGCTTGGCAAGAGATCTTTTTTATTTTCTCTGTGGCAGTTTTTCTTGCCTAATGGTGGATGTGAGTAATTGCAGTAGTGCCTGTAGGTAGGACCCTCAAATTCCTGAGCATACCTGTTCCTCTGTGTCTGTGAGTTCCACATCGGAGGTCTTAATCAAGATCAGGAAATTCAGGGAGGAAAGCGATCTGTGCTGGTCATAGAACTTTTCTTATCATTGTCTCCTGAACAATGCAGTCTGAAGTGCTCTCACGGCGTTTGCATTGCATTAGATATACTAAGTAACCCAGAGATGACTCAAAATCTACAGGTCGGAGCACACGGCTTTCTGCAAACACTGTACCATTTTATGTAAGGGACCTTCATCCTCCAATCTGGGCATCTGCTGGGGATCCTGGAGCCAGTCCCCATGTGACAAATGTTCATGCTCCTTGGTCTTTGTGTCAGAGTTTGTTGACCCATGCATTCCGCAGTTGGTGTGCTTTCTGGTTTGAAGGTGTCCCCAGCAATTCCTTTCGTTCCTCCTAATACCTTCCTCTGATACAGATTTTTTCAAGATTTTTCTGTGGTGTACTCAAGATAGAGAGATTCGCAAGTTTAAGGCAATTGAGCCCATATACAGACTCCATGTCTATGGGTTCTTGATGCTCCACGTCATCCTAGTGCCCATGTGTGGCCGACATTAATAGTTTTGTGAAGTTTTAACTGAGAAATAGAATTTCACTTTCATTTAGTCTCTGCCAAGTAATGACAGTGAACACTGAGCGTTGTGTGCATTTGTGGGTTGTTTTTTTCTGAGGGGTGGGGTGAGGGGGGGGAGACTCATGCTGTTTCTTCTCCTGCAAGTTTCTTGTTACTTTTGTGGAGTCTTCATTTGGATATTTGTCCTGTGAAGATCTGCCAGAATTCAAGTAGAGTCATGTATGTAAAAACGCTAATAAAAATAAACACCCAAAGAAACAATCTCAGGAAGCTGGGATCTCAAATAGATTCACCTGGCAGTAAGAACCATGATGAGTGACAAGGCCAGAGACCTGCAGAGACCATCACAGCCTGACAGAGAAAATGCTTCTGCAAGGTCAGATGCCCAGGAGCTGCCTGTCTGGGGGGACTGGCATCACCTGTAAGTGACATCTGCAACTGGAGGTGACTGCTTTATGTGACCCTTTGCAAGTCCCCTTTATAAACCATCATCTTCCATCGCTCTGTGGATATGTCATCCTGAATTTCCCCTGCATGAGCCTTCCAGTCAGTTCAGTCTTTGGAGACTGTCCATTTGTTATTTCAGTTGTCAGCCTTTCTGCGCCTGATTCATAGGACTCCTTTTCAATATCCTGTTCACCAATGTTCTGTAAGGACCTCCCCCACCTTTGACTACTCCCTACACTTTGTCATTGATCATTTTCACTTAGCAGCTTGGGATTTTAATCAAATCAACTTTTCCCCCTGTAGTTTGTGCCTTTTAAATTTTTAAAATCGAAAATAGATTTTCTTTATACAATATGTTCTGATTACAGCTTCCCTCTTCCAACTCCTCCCACTTTTTTCATTCTTAAAAAATCTTTTCCATTTAAAAATATGAAATGCCTCATGAATTCGCATGCCATTCTCGTGCAGAGTCCACGCTCATCTTCTCTGCATTGTTCCAGTTTTTAATGTATGTGCTGCTTATCTTATTCACAAAATACTTTCTTATCTGGACATTAAAGTGGATTTTCCTCTGATGTCTTCAGGTCATTTTCTGATGGGTCCTGGTGACATCATGTTCATTCCTTGTGCAGTTATATGAGGCAAAACTCCATGTTCTCTACTGAGGTCAGGGCCTGAAGGAGTCAGTGAGTTCCTGGAGGCTCATAGCTGAGAATCACAAAATGGGGAGAGATCCGTGTCCACAGTAGAGATCCACGTCCACAGTAGAGATCCACGTCCACAGTAGAGAACTGTGTCCACAGTAGAGATCCATGAACACAGTAGCCCAGAACTTGCCTGGAAGTCCTCGCTGGAAGTCCACAGGTTTACTTCCTTTTTTCTGGAGAGATTGAACTGGAATGCTCAGCTCATGTCCATTCTCCAGCAGAGGGCAGCTCATCTTAGAGAAGGCAGTGGACTCGGGTCAGAGTACGACTTCCGACCTGTGCCTTCATGGGGCATTTGGTTAGGCTGAGAACCTCTCTGGGTTCTTGGCATCCCATCACCAGGGTACCAGGCCATGCCAGCTTCCTGCCCACGTGGCTTTGGGCCCTGGCAGGCAAAGCCTTCTCTAGGCAGGCAGTGTGCTCCCTGTTAGCTCATGGCAGAGCTGCAAAGGTGGAGCCTCCAAAAAGGCCTTTGTTGTTTCCTTTTGCTTTTCTTAGGAATTTGAGGTCTGCCTGTTATCCCGATGTTCCTGGCATGGAAAGCTCCTGAAAGAGATTTGTTGAGAAGATCCACTTTTGAGTGACAATCAGGGCTGGGGCCCCTGAGGCCCAGACTCCAGGCTGGTTCTCCATAGCTCTGTTAGGACACAGAAGTGACCATATTGGTGTGCAGATAAGTCTTACTTTGACAACCAAGGGTTTATGACTCACATCCTCAAGTAGTCAGCCCACAACTTAGGTTTGGCCATGGGACCTAAATCCAACATTTCCTCTGGTAGGCTCATATCTAAGCCTTTCCCCCAAACTGCAACCTTCCCCTGTGCCCATTTGGATACTTCATGCCATAAAGAAAGCCACTGTTGACCTTCTAGGTCTCAGCTCACCAGATTCCCGCACATTGTACTTGAACTATCCTGCCAGGTGAAAATATCTTAAGCAGGCATTTGTGTGTCCTCCACCTCCACACAGCTACCAGAATACTGGAACTGAACGAATTAGAATTTCTCAGGCATCTCATGATGGGGAAGGAAAAAGCTGGGCCATAAGGCCTGGCAAATAGGGAGCTCCTCCCCCAGAAAGAGTCCACACAGATCGCACACCTTGTCAGAGCACCTTGAAGAAGACACAGGGGCTGATACAAAGATGGGTCAGTCATCGGTGGGACCACGTCTTGACAGGACTGCTTAGCTATGCATACCCTTGACCTCTGCCTGTCAGGACCCTGGAAGACATACTGGGGCTCAGTGAACCTCTCTGTGGTCACTTGGATGGAGTTCCTTTTTCTGCTTTTGACTATTTGGTCTTTTTAACTGGCCTGTTGTGGGAAGGCAGCTAAGCCTAACTTATTAGGAATGTCATAGCCCAGGCTTTCACCCTAACAACTCTGGTAACAACCAGCCCAGGGGAAAAAACAAGTTTGGGATGTCATCCACTCACAACAAGTTGACCTCAGGTGGGAAGCCATGCAGTTGGAACAGCAGTCAGAGTCACTTTTTGCAAAGAACACCCACCCCCAGTCACTACTGGCTGCTTTTTGTTTTTACTTAGTGAACAGAAATGAATGTTTGAACTTGACAAAAGTCTGAACCTTGTAAAGTCTCTCCCCTGTTGGTGCACCTTGGAGTTCTGAGCTATCCGGGTTCTGTTGGATAGTTTGGGCTACTGCGTCATATATGACAGGCCTTGACAATTTATGAAAAAATTTAGAATTTAGGTTCCTGCTTGCTATCAGGGCATCCGAGTATGACAAGGAAGGCTGAACGTATTTGTCTTAGGGACTTTTCTGAGCAACTGGGTTCTGTTGAGCCATTTGGGACACAGAAGAACTCAACTGTGATTTGTGTAGCCACGGGGAACAGTAAGTGCGCATTTTCTTGGCATCTCCTAGGGAGATTTCTAAGTGACAAGTCTTTTATAGATTTATGGTTATTTATCCAAAAGTACACTTTGCAGTAATATAATTACTTTTTGTGTCATTTTGTGTCTAACGCAGCATGGCACAAAGTTAATCTGTCCTTGCAGGAGAAAATTCTCCTTACAGGATTTGCAAGATGAGACAGCTCTTGAAAATCTTGTAATGGGATTTTTTTCAGGAATAATCTCAATATGCAAGTGAGAAACGTGGACTTGGTATCAAGGCTGTTATACACATAGAATGGTGGCTATGCTGCACTCCAAGGTCTTTATGTGGTATTTTCTTTTCTTGATAGGAATCCAAAAGATACAATCCCTATAGACCTCCAGGACCAGGGCACGCTGACTGTGTACAGTAGTAAAAAGGCAATGTTGTTACATCTTACCCAAAAGATAGATAGCTAATGTCTTTCACTTAAAGAGTGATTAAGTTGTTAAAATGCTCAGAGAATATCTAAACTGATCTTTGCTAGATAAATTTAAAACATCTCTTTTTATCGAAGTCTTTTTGTATGGTTTCTGGGCTCTGTTCCATATAAAATACATATATATTTTGTTGATGTTAAGAAGGGCTAATTTTATTATAGGATAGTAAAGTTGTGCTACAATTAATTCTAATGCTAAGATAGTGTATTACTAACAGACAATACATTATTTTGTTATAAATAATGCTGCAAGATTGGATAGTTGAATATCTGAGTTGGTGGATGTGTGTGTTGTACAGTTATGTGGATTGTGTGTTTTATTAAGCTGTTTATGTTTTTGACTAATTTTTGCTATGCAGAAAACTGTGTCCTAGCAAAGCTAGGGTTCACTTCCATACCTACTTATGTTAAGATCTTTCAAATGACCAGTTTATAATCAACTGTTTTAAGATGATTTTCCTGTATATATGTATGTATGCATATATATGACCAGCAATTATGCACAGCTGTATATCTAAACTTTACACACATGTAAAAGTTTTCAGAGTTAGGGATTGAAGAAATGCTCAGATCTTAAGAGCACTGTCTGCTCTTCCAGAGGACCCAGGTTCAGTTCCCAGCACCCATACGTTGCCTGACAACCATCTGTAACTCCAGTTCCAAGGGAATCAGATGTCCTCTTCTGGCCTTTTCAGGAACTGCATGCATGTGGTACATACAAGTAGACAAAACACTCATACCAATTTTTTTAAGTTTACTGTTAAATAGGGGCAGTAGTGGCACAGGCCTCTAATCCCAGCACTCTGGAGGAGGAGGCAGGTGGATCTCTGTGAGTTTGAGGCCAGCCTGGTCTACAGGGTGAGTTCCAGGACAGCTAGGACTATACAGAGAAACTGTCTCAAAAAACCAAAACCAAACCAAACCAAACAAACAAAATCCCAAAACCAAAAACCAACCAAACAAACAAAAAAACAGATAAAAGGTATATTCACAATACACGTAAAGTGACCACTAAGCACTCCTCTTTGTACATTATACATTGTATCTGGATTTCATTGGTATAAAATGGCCACTGAAATTATTCTGCCACTTCTAGTCACTGCCATTTAGATAAAAAAATAAAAAAATAAAATAACCATGACATTTAGATAGTTCTGCTAGTTAAGACCTTACTGAAAGGTCTCAGATGTGGGGCTCAAGGGGAAACTGAGGCAGATTGCTGCAGACAAGAAGACTATTAGAGGAGTTGTTAACGCTATGGGCATACAGCCATATAGACAACGGCAGGGCAAGGGACTCTGAGGAGAGTTCAGGTCTCAGAGTCAGAAATTGACAGTATGGTGGGAGCCTGCAGCGGGGTGGAGGAAGAGGGGGCCACATCAGAGTGGGAGCCTGCAGCCAGGGTCTCTGATTCCGAGGTAGGATAATGGGGTGGGGGAGTGCATGACGGATGGCCACTAAATTCTGGCACCTGAAGTCTACCAGCTAGAGAGCCACAGTGTCTCAGTAGGAGGCCTGTGTATATCTGTGAGGGCAATGGCTGCTGCAGGTACTGTGGCCTCAGCAGCCGTCTGTTCCATCCTCACATCACACCTGGACACTGACTGCCATGACTGAATTGATGCTTTGCTGCTGTATGTGTGGTATGCACCTGAATGTCAGAAACCTAGACCGTCACTGGAACTGTTCCCCCAAATTGAAAAGAATCTAAAGATTTGAATTTGTCCGTGCTGTGGTCCCATTATCTTATCTGGCCCAAGACTCGAAATCTTGATTCGAATGTAAAACCTGAATATTCCTGTGTAAAGAAGGTCTGTGTGGTTCTGTGGAGTGGTGTTAGCTGTTACCCGTTCTTTTGTGTGTAAATACCGTCATGTCCTCCCTGGAGTACACAAGCCTTCCAAAGCTTAGGAGAGTGCTTTACCAAGATGTTTTCCTCCAAGCTAAAGCTGTTAGTGTGATAAGCTCCCCAAACCCGCCCAGATGTGCTCACATCTTCCTAATCCCATGATAGCGATAGCGTTCTCTTGGATCGGCGAGACACTTCCTAACCCTGCTCACACCTACCTGTGCCTCCTAATAGTTAAAACACGTGCTGGACATTGCTCAGCCAAGTGTTGGGAGGCCTTGCCAGTCAGGGGTCGCAGTCTATCAAGGCCTGGCAGCTTTCTCCAAGCAACACGAAGGACTCCCTCTCCAGTGAGGCTTCCTGCTCTCTACCTGCTCTATTTGGAGGATGTCTCTAGGCCCAGCTGCTCACTTATCTCAAGGATGACCCTTGACATAGTTGCATGCAAATGCTCTTCCCCGAGGACCACATGGTAATTAAGTAACATGCTCTAGCTATTTTCCTAGGGCCCTGCTGCCACCAACCCAGCTTTGTGATAGGATTGTGCCATTCAATGCAAATTAGGGCTTGTCCCAGGCTTCCCACTCCTATAGATTGCCTGTACTCTGGGATAAAGTTGGCTTGTCTCACTGAAGGG